TATATATATATATATATATATATATATAATGGCTGTAGCTTCCTTTGCTTACTAACATTGAATTTTTCTAGTAATACTCTACACCTCTGTAAGCTTCTTTCTGCTTGAAATTCAAAACTCTTCTCTAAGTCTGGCTATTCAAATTTCAGTGTTGCTCTTCGGGGTAAGGATCACAGTTTACAGAAAATGAAAAACAAAGCAGTTCCACTTTGCCCACGTTGTCTTCAGTCTTGAGGCATGATCAGGATTAAAAACAGGTTTTGTAGTCTCTTGGCTAAGTTGCCTCTCCTAGAATCTTGAGTGGTTTTCTAAAATCTTTCTAGAATTGAACACACTGTAGCTGAAAATGGATTGTGTGAAGAACCCCAATTGTATTTTTGTTTCCTAATGAGTATATGAGAAAGAGCTTTTTACGAAGTACTGTTGGGGTAAAGTTAATGGACAGAGGGGGTGATAAACAAGCTAACAAGTTTGCTTTTTAGTTCAAGTGTTTGTAGCTTATATTCCTGCCAACTACTTCAGTGCCACAAGAGACAATTACATTTTAAATCAGTCATTGGATCAGAATACCTAAGTATAATTGGACTTCTCAGTGCCAAATGGATGAGTGTCCTCAGATTCCAATTTTAAATCTTATGTGTTCATCTTTATGACCACTGAATTAAGAGAGAAAATTGCAAAAGGTGCCAGCAACCATTTACAGGGTCTTATTTAAACACAAAGAGAAAAAAACTTACAGTAGAGACTTGCATGTATATCTAAATATTGTTCTAAGTTTTCTTTCTGTTTTTTGGATAAATGAAATTCTGGATTTCATTCAGAATCTGAGTAGTCTTTTTTCTTTCTCTTTAGAATTAAATTCATTTTTAATTAAGAGCCAACCTGGCTAACAGATTTTATTTCATCTTTAGGTTTGGGTTTCTTATACACTTACCATCCAACAGTTTCCATTAACTTGTATAGAACATTTTTATTTATATTAGTACTATGTGGGGGTTTTTGGTTCTAGCATTAACCACAGTGGCTGTGTCCAGATGAGTGCAGCCATGAGGTATATGGCGCTGCAGACACATCTGTGGTGCCATATACCACATATTCAGCTGTTCTCTGTGCTGGAAGGGATCAGTGAAGTGGGGGGTTTG